CAATCTACATCTTTTTATAATGAATATTCCTTAACAACTTATTATAGCTACATTTTTGATCATTTTGACTTTTAACTTTCATACTAGAGATTTGACTTACATAAAACTCTTATAATAGACTATTTTAAGGTGATAGCAACTAAACTTCAGTTGCATACAAATAATCTAGACTATAACCCACTCCCTATACACAATTTATATTTTTGTTGACACAATCTACATCTTTTTATAATGAATATTCCTTAACAACTTATTATAGCTACATTTTTGATCATTTTGACTTTTAACTTTCATACTAGAGATTTGATTTACATACCACCCTTATAGTAATGGTACATTCTGTTTTGACTACCGGTGTGTTTTATACTTTTATATGTTTTCATGATACTAATTATCATCTTTTTATCTCTGGTTGAAGAACTCCTTAAAATATTTCTTGTAAGGCAGACCTGGTGGTGATGAATTTCCTCAGCTTTTGCTTGTCTGGAAAAGACTTTATTTTTCCTCATTTTTGATGAATAGCTTTGCTGGGTATAGTATTGTTGACTAACAGATTTTTTTCTTTCAAAACTTTGAGTGTATCATCCCATTCTCTCCTGGCCTGCAGGGTTCTGCTGAGACATCTGCTGATAATCTAAGAGAGATTCCCTTGTAGGTTACTCAATGCTTTTTTCTTGCTACTTTTAAAATTCTCTCTTTGTCTTTGACTTTTGACGTTTTGGTTATAATGTGTCTTGGTGAGGACTTCTTTGGAATGAACCATTTTGGGGATTTTGATTTTCATGGATCTGGATGTCTATATGTCTCCCAAGACTTTTGAAGTTTCCAGCAGTTATTTTGTTAAGTAAGCTTTCTGTGTCTTTCTCTATCTCTTCTCCTGCTGGAACCCCCATAATGTGAATATTTGTTTGCTTACTGGTATCCCATAAGGGTTCTCAGTGGCAAGGGCTTTAGAGGTCCTTCTGTTCTTATTTTCTCCATAGTGTGGGGACTTGGTTGGGGAGATCCCTCTAGGTGTCAGGTGACATGGTCCACAAGCAGCCATAGCGGCACTGTGTTCCGGGGCACAGGTGCTTGGAGTGGCTGTGGAGTTGGGGTCCTAGGTTCAGTGTCCTGCTACTGTGGCTTCTGTGATGTGGGTACATGTTTACTCTCTAAGGCACAAGTGGATATAGCTCTCCCACAAAGCCAAGGACTGTGGCTCTGAGGCATTTCTCAATGGCTTGGGCCCAGGGGACAGGGATATAGCTGTGACTCTGATCCTAGGGATCCAGGGCACAGCACTGGCATGGGTCCAGGGAAGAAGGGGTATTCCAGAGGCTTGAGTTTCAGGAAGCAGGGCACAGCTGCAGTTCAGGTCCTGGATTAAGTCCAACAGGACACAGTGGCAACTTGGATACCAGGAGAGAAATTAGTGCTTAGTGGTGACTCTGGACCCTGGGGTAGTGAGACACAGCAGTGGCCCAGGTTCTTTTAGGTTGGGTGCAGTGGCATCAGGGACCCAGGGATGGCAGGGCACAACTGTAGCTTGGGCTCTGGGAGGCAGACAGCAACACAGTGATGAGTCCACTCCTCATGGAGGGAGTGTACCTCAGCAGCTCAGACTCCAGAGGGCTAGTCCAGATCCCAAGAAATGGAATGCTCGTGTTGTTCAGCTCTGAGACACAGCATAGCCAAGGTTCTGTCTCCCTGTGGGGTAGGGTGCCACATCATCTTGATTGCCTAGGGCCACAGATATCTGCTGGGACTCTTTGTCCCCCAAAGGTTGGGGTACCTGGGGTGTGACTGTTCCACTGGGCTAGGACTCTTGATCCCCAAGAGGTACAGTGTGCCTTGCTGGCATGGGCACTAGGGGCACAGCTGCTCTGCTAGGCACTTCAGTTACCATGTGAGTTGTTCACCAGGCTGGTTGGATGGCAGAGGGGCCAGGGGTGGCTGCTCTGTTGGCCTAGGCTCTGAGTAGTAGGGGGGTGGGTGTGGGCCACAGCTGCAAATGGACTGGGGTAGATGGACTGCCTCTGAGGTAATTTAGCCCAAGGGAGTAAGGAGCTGCAGCAACTTGGCTGGGGGATTATGTACTACTATACTATGTGTTAGCACGGTGTGAGGATGACAGTGTCAGGGATGAAGAGATGCAGTAGCTGTTGGCCCCTGGACTAGGATGTACCCTAACAGTGGTTCCGGTTTCAAGATGGTACTGTGTAGTAGCAGCTCGGACCATGGGGAGTAGGACACAATGTAAGCTCCTTCTCTGGAAGTGCATCAGGGCCTGTGAAGACTACAGGATTCTCCAGTAGACTGCAAATGTCCATGGAGGTGATGGGGGTTGCTGAGGGAACCTGCTTACCTTTTTCCTCCTGGTTTCTAGCCGATCCTGACTGGGGGATAAGATGATAGAAGAAAGGTGTTTTCTTCCCTCCCCTATGTGGCCATCTTGAGTTTCTGTACTTCAGTGTTTCTACTATGCCCTTGCTGTACCTTGGCACTTTCCTTTAGTCTCTCTGGTCAAAATGTAGTTAGTTGTTTATTCATTGTTTTGGTCCTTTTTGGGGTGTGGGGATGAGAGTTAAGCCCCCCTTGTTGGCCTTCTTGCTTCTTCCTCACCTAGTCTTTTTTATGTGCCATATCTCAGAGCACAGTAAACAATTGTTTTTTATTTCCATCTTTTTTGGCTTACTAATGATATAGCAGAGTTTTAAAAATTGTTATTCCTTACAAATATTTTTTAGGTAAATTATGGGAGTAGACTTTTACATTCTGACCCATGAACATAATCACCACTTACAATGTTTTTTCCCTGTGGAAAAATGAGTTTTCTAAATTCTTGATTTAAAAAGTGAGCTTTAATGTTATAACTGATAAGTTAGGGACTTCTGAATATGAAAATAAGATATTCTCTACTTCTTAAAGATAGTTTTCAGATAATGATATTATAAAAATCTTTTTATATCCCTAAGTTTTAAAATAATTAATAAACTATTTCAGAGTTTTCTGATGTTACTATGAATAACCCAATAATTTTATGGTATTTTTAAATAGGTTACAGAAGTGTGCATATTCCATAAGAGATTCAAAACTGAGAGGTAGGTTTAGAAATAATTTTTGAATAGCATTTTTGGATACAGATAAAAGGAGTCAATTACTAATGAAATATTAACAGTAACAACAAGTGATATATTTTTATTATAGATTTCTTAATACATGGTGTTGCTTATCATCACGCTGGTATGGAGCTGTCAGATAGAAAAGTAGTTGAAGGTGCTTTTACTGTTGGAGATGTACCAGTTCTTTGTAAGTGAAACGTACTATAAAATGTTTCGGAAAATTATTTTTAAGAAAGAATGTAAAAAGCGTAAATATCCTGACTTGTTTCTGCCTTTCTTTCAAGAATCTAAAATTGGCACTCTGGGAGGTCAAGGCGGGTGGATTGTTTGAACTCAGGAGTTGGAAACCAGCCTGAGCAAGAGCGAAACTCTACTAAAAATAGAAAGAAATTAATCAGACAACTAAAAATATATATAGAAAAAATTAGCCGGGCATGGTGGCGCATGCCTGTAGTCCCAGCTACTCAGAAGGCTGAGGCAGAAGGATC